GGGGGGGGGGGGGGGGGGGGGGGGGGGGGGGGGGGGGGGGGGGGGGGGGGGGGGGGGGGGGGGGGGGGGGGGGGGGGGGGGTCTCCCGGAAAAATTTGATGGGGTCTGCATCTCGCTTTCCAAAACCCTTACCCTATTTAAGACCAAAATCTGCAATTTTCCTACTCCAGTTATGACCTGAACAAAACTTTATGATACCCTATTTAAGATCTGACAGGGAGCTCGGCGCTAGACCGGAGCCATTGCGGCACATACACGGTTGGCTTGAACTCAATTTGTGAAGGGCTTTTGTTGATGATGCTATCGATAACGATGAATAAGTAGCTTCTTCTAAAGAACATAGCCAATTCAAGACTATTTTAGACCACAATCACCAAACTCGATGCCCTATTTGTGACCAAAACGGCTTAAAACAAGAGAATAGATCATGGTCTCTTGCTAAAAAACCATACCCCTTGGGGCTTCACATACTCATATAGCCATATAAGGAAGCACCCCCTCTACCCGTGATGATTCAATGTTCGTGTCCCGTGATATCTCCGAGTCTGATGGCAGCCGTTTGAACTTTGTTGAGGCCAGCGTTTTACGGTCTTTTGTCACGGGGGATGGGAATGAATTCGTCACTCATTTACAATTGTTATAGCATTGTGATTTAGTAAGTGAAGAATATTTTTTTTCATGGTGCACAATATGAGATCAGTGGTTATGTCAAATGACGCGGATATTACGTAATTTTTGTCGAACAGTGGCCATTTGGTTCCGCCATCTCCATTTGGTTCGCCAATCTCCAAAAAGGAAAAGGCTATTGTAACAAAAATTACTGAAAATCCGGAAAATTCAGAATTTTAGAAAGATGCATGTCGAAACTGATGGTTGCCTTGCATGGAAACGTAGTTTCTTGAACCATACATGAGGTGTCACACCAAATTTTTCCAAATTATTTTCGAACCTTTGGTGGCTTTTACGAAGGAGACATTATGAACATTGAAACGAGTCATCTGTGCAGCCAGGGTTCCCATCTTCCTTCCAGTAGGTCTCAATAGGTTTATAAAATACTTTCGAACAAAAAGAAACATCAGAATGTATTATTGAAAAGTTAAGAATGAATTGTGTTTTATTTGTTCACAGGACTGACTTACCCACCGCAAAGAGATGTTTACTTACAAATTCTTGAAGGAAGGTTTCAAATTGTCGTCACCACAAGCGTAGCCGAGGAAGGATTTGACCTTCCAGTGCCTGACTTAGTGATTCAAATGGATCCTTCAAGCTCAGTTTCAGCTCTCGTGCAAATACGCGGCCGAGCACCTCTGAACGAGGCCAGGTTTGTTGCCATCTGTAGGAATGACGAACAAGCCAAGAAAATTGAAGATTTATTGAAACGTGAAGAGAACATGAGACGCTCTGCGAGGCTCATCAACGGGCTGTAAACAATACGTCAGGTTCTAATCTTAGAGTGCACGTCATATTTAGAAATAGGTAATAGCAAGTGGACTGGTTCCAAGTCTAATTCAGGCCTGGAAAAACAGAATCTTGAGAAGAGAATTCTGGATTTACCATGTCCTGTTAAACAGATCAATAATTCGGCGAAAAAAAAAATGGATTGCGAGGTCAATCCAGCTTTCAAAAGTTAATTTTCTAGAATGAAACATGAAAGTTATTATTTGAGAAAGTTGACAATACTTGTCCTTTTTCATGTTAGTGGTATTTAATCTTTAACAAAAAGCAGGTTTCAGGACAACGCTTTTTTTTACATTTTAGCTGGTGTGAGGCTTCGAAAAAGAATCATAATTTCATTTACAGAAAAGTTTAAATTGAAAGTTGCTCACTTGGGTTTTTTTCAATTTTCATAAAAAAAAATTCTAAAACACTAGGAACACCAATTGAAAGAGCAAAAAAAAAGCAATTAACAAATTACAACATTGATTTTAAACATTTTGGGATTGCAAGTTTGCAGTTAAATACAATTGAGGAGAATTTCAAATAATAATCGGTATTTTTTTGTGATATGACAACTTAAATTTCCAAGGTGGATCCAACAGAAAGTTTTTGTAAATGTAAATGTAAAAATTTAAATGTAAATGAAAATCACAGGTACAACATAATTGATCCGCCTTTCTGGTTTGTCATATGTCACATTGCTTATTTAAAATTAAGTTAATTTATCATCGCAAAGTGCACAAAGAAAATTTGTGAATAATCATTATCTACTCAGGAAAATCGACCATATAACGTGGGTTCCTTTGAGTAAGTTTAAATTCTTCCGCGTTAGACTTTGTTACCGTTTTGGCCGTCATATGAAAATTTACTTCCTTGGCACATTTCCTCTGAAGAAGACAACATTAATTCACGGCTTTTATTTTGTATAGTTAGTCATTGAACGGTGAAAATGGTTTCAAAATAACTCTAGATGTTGCAGTGAACATGTTACTTGACAAGGTTTATGATTTCTGACAACATTTTGCCAACTTTCTGATGAATTTCGTTTGAAATAGGCAATCAAAATGCCAGCCGGTTGGGAGAAGGGGTTGCCATTCTCAAAAATTGACAACTCTGCTTCACGAAGTTCTTGAAGTTTGATTTACTAGTTTAAACGATTCAGAGCGATCTTGCGTTTCGGGGAATGAGAAAATCCTAATTTGATTTAGAGAAACTCTGAACGCAAAATACTGGAGAAAGAGAAGTTTTTTTCATGTAGAAAGGAGGAAATATTGTTGTGAAAAGATCTTACTTTCGTGAATTTGTAAAAAAACGAAAAAGTTGTAGATGGCCCATCCCTGCCAACTTCAATTCGCGGTGTACATAAAGTAATGCTGTACAATTTTGATGCATAAATTATAAGCCTTGTTGCTCATTGCAGAAAGGTTTTTTATTCGATCAATACAAAAGAAGTCTCAAGATTTGAAACTATTTAAGAGTCGACGATTTAATAGGTATCAAAACAAACGAGATTTTTTAAAATGTGTTTTAATAGCCCAACCAGGTTGGGCTTTCCTCAGTGCCATCAGACTGGGAAAAAATCAAGTGAATGACATATCCAGAGTTATAAGTTTCTATATTTGCTATTCAAAACATGTTATTCAGCATCTAATTAGACCTAAGAAATGTGCTTTTTACCTAAAGTCCTCGTCAAAAGCGCTCAGAAAGCTTCATATTCAAATTCTACTATCAAAAATTAGGCGCTGGTTCTCGCTAGATCGCTGATAGTTTCGCGTCATCGTGACGCAGTAGAAGAGGTATCCATGTTGCTAAGCAACACTTTCGTTAAAAGCTTGAGGGCTGAGTCTGTTTGTAGCAATGAGATCCTGACCTCAGAAAACTCAATATTGATATCGAAATATTTTTCCTCGATGGGATGTACAATATTATCTTCAACTCAAGGAAAATCGCAAAATTGTAGTTCAGTATGTGTCGAAAAACGTCAACAAGGTCATGAAAATGGAACGAGGATACAGTCAAGATTGGTGAAAAGTGTGACAGATTACGAAGGACAAATCTAGCACAATGCTGGGTAGTGTTTGGGTGTGGTCCGGCTTTGTGACTAAGAGCGGACAAAGTAAATTTTTAACTAGCTTGTACGTTTTTAAGATCCCTTAGTTTGAAAGCTAACTGGAAAGTACACAAAACAAATCAAAATGAAAATGAAGCAAGGAAGTGACTACAGAAGAAGTCAATTTTGTGGTCAGAAAGCAAGCAATGCACACTCTTTGTTATTGCATGGGGAGTGAATATATGTCATTATAACTGATATCTCTTCGCGGTTGAAGTCCCATACCATAATAAGTACTTTCGTCTTGAGTTATACTTCATGTAACACTTCATTAGAGCAATTTGGAATAAAAGAAATTTCCAAAATTTCCAAAAAGCCCTCACATCAACAATAGTAAAATACTTTTTAGTGGCGTGCTACAAAATTTAGGGCTAATTTTTCAGATACTTTTGGACATTTGGCGTATTTTCGTCGATAAATGGAGCAAGATGTAAAAACCAACGTAAACATCAGTTCTTTTGAGGTATATTCTCCCCTTAACAGTGACTTTTAACGTCCAAATCATTTAGAAGTTAAACTGACAACTCCTTTGGGGACCTTAGGAGTTTTTGTTGTAGTTAACGTAAGTGAGGTACTTTAACAGTAATGGATTAAGATCAAATAAGATGTGCATGATTTTCTGTTGGTGTAGGGTCTGTAAATGTACAGGATTACTGTGGTGAAGAAAAGTGTTGTTGATTTAAATCTAGTCTCAGGTTAATTTGGCGTTCTCTACATTTCTGTACAATTTCACGTTTTCTAGGGGTAACGGGTAAACGTTATAGTCGATAGTTGTCGACGAAGAAAACTCAGAAACTCTTACGAGCGTTTGAGAAGGAAATATCAAAATCTAAAAGGAGTTCTGTCACGGTATTTTGAGTTAACTTGGCCGCGTAAAATATGACCTTAAAATTAAAGGAAACCTGAAAATGATAGTTAACTAAGACAGAAAAACACCAAAAAGATCATAAAAAAAACAATAAAGGATTAAGGGTGGTCAAGAATGGAGAAGATTGACACAGATTACAAACGACGAACTTGAAAAATTTAGGCTAAACTTTTCAAGATGCGCATACCTTGACGTAGCTCCTTTAAGTCTCACATCATGTGTTTTGAGCTCAGCTATTTTTAAAATTGATATGTGCTGTTTCCATGGTAACAGATATGGAGCCGTGTGATAACAATAGCCCAATGATCAAAATAATCCATGATTGGCTGTCAACTGGGAAATAACATAAATAGCAATCATCAAATTCATTAAACAGCTTTTGTTTATTGTAAAAATAGCCAAGCTAAAAACACGTTTCTTTGCTGGATTTGTACAGTTATTTTTTTTCTTATTTACTCCGACGAACGCTTACGTAGTGTCAGTAGAATTTTCTCTATTTTAAAATAAATTATTCGTCATTATTTGAAAGCTGTCGTATTTAAAGAGGTCTACTTGTAATGCTAAACTAGAAACATGATGATTGTGGATGTCTTGATATGAATTTATGAGCTGTCATAAATTAAAAGATTAGAATTTACTTTTAGCTTGTGTTGGTTTTCCAGTTATTAAAGACGTTGTATGGAAGCTAATATATTCGGGGGAGGAGGGGTATGTGTTGGGGGTAGGGGTAAATATATTCCACATGGGGTATCTCCATAGTTTCTTTGTTACTTCTCCTTTTCTCATTAGGGGCATTCCCCCTCCCCGATCATAACCAAATTTTGGTAAGAAAATTTTATCCATCATTTCGTGTGGTAACAACTTATACGGCACACAGTCCTTCGAGTTGATTAAAAACTGTTTAGATCGTGTGGAGGTGAAGAAAGCAATTTTCTTTAACGGAATTCTACGTTGACACCAGATGCTACAAAAATTTCAAATTGAAGAATCAAATCTGCCGAACCGAAATTGCCGCGACCCTTCTTTTATTTCCATTTCGCCATACTGGCTAGCAAGATACAAAAGGTCGTCTTTTCTAGAGCAATAAGCCCCAGGTGGACTTCACCTGCGACAGAAATGAAGGAATATCTATTTACTCAGTCTATTAAGTAAACATTTATAGCTGAAGGTGTACAAACGGTACACATGAATTATTCCACATTTTCCATCCCTTAATTTCGACTATTCATTGCGTTAGCGAGTGAGGATTTTTTACCGTAATGAACTGAGACAAAATGTTCTTTCAGAAACATTTTCCATGATAGATAACAGAGGTCAATGAACTATGGATTCTAGTAGCCATGTTGTCTGTTATGCCGGCACATCACAGAGACTTTGTAGCTTTCAAAAACAGTCTGACGCAAGGCGACACTGTAAACATTTAATTTGGCGTTGTATTTGTTTAAAATGCACCATGTCGCTCCAGAATGGTAATTACAAGCTATTTTGCAAAACGTCTTTCGGCTGAGTACTAGAGAAATGTAGAAATGCCAGAGAGAAAAATTGATGATTGACAACGGGCGTTGTATCTTGTGGTTAAAATGAACAAAGCTTTTATTCTCACTGACAACTAGAGCAGTTTGTTTTGAGCATCAAGAAAGTTAATTTTGAACCGGAATGAAACCTTAATTTAATAGCAGGTGATGTGCCCTAAATTGACGTTGTATCTTAATTGATAGTACCTTTGTATTGGAAAACACTGAGAACTGTCTAAAGTAACCGGAATTTTCTATGCACCAAAGTGATCCATTAAAATTATACTTCGTGGTCTCAATTCAAAAGCGCGGGTATTTAGTCACTGTTGAGATAAAGGGACACTTTCGTAAGTTTCGTGTCGGCCACGCGCGCAGCACGTGCGATTGCGTTGACGGTCACGAGCCAGGCAACAAGTCAATTAATATTTGCGAAACATCCGTAGGTGTCCGAAGGAAGCGAGGTTTTAGTAAGGACGCGCATGCTCCGTATGCTTTGACATAGGAAAAGAATGGTCAAGGTTTTTTTTTACTTGCTTATGAAATCGAGAAAGTACATGCAGCCGAGAAAAAGGCAGAAAAAATTAAGTGGCCCAAGAAATAACCAGAAAAACTCAGCATTCATTTAAGTTTCTTTTCCCTTCGCTTGCTCCTCCCCAGTCAACTAACTTCAGACACTTCATATTTGGCAGCGCTTTGTTTGCGCTCCATTAAAGATGATGACAAGATGGTTTGCATTGTAGTATTTAATCCATTATTTAGGTAAATATTTAGGGTAAAAACTGACTAGGAGTCTTTAAGTTAATCTCTCGGAGAAATTATTTAATATTTATTTGTGATGCAGACATCTTGAACTGACAGGTAGTTACCTCCGCTCTGCTGTTTCCCGCTGACAGTTTATTCAAAATTTCACCGAAATTTACAGCGCAAAGTGATTAATTCTCAAGAGAAATGGGATTTTGCAAAAGCCCTGGCAGATGTACTTTCTTTTTTTTTTTTTCTTATCTACAGAAAGCAATCCACTGATATTGACATTCAAATAATCTAGCTTTGTTGAGAAAATATTTTAATCACTTTAAACGTGTTGAACGCTTTTTATTTTTCTGATGGCCAGCTGATATTCACAATCACGTTTTCAGCCGCCTAAACTGACGCAAGGCCATTTCACATGCCACCATTATAACACTGAATAGTTTTCGGTTTTGGAAGAAATCAATGACAAACGGAACAATACCGACCTTTTATCGCCTGGCGCATAAACAATACATGAGTTTTTTTTTTTAAAGCGCACTATTGACGCAAGTCGGTTCTTATGTGCATGTTTCGGCAAACTAGAGCAAAATGTTCTAATGGATTTGGGGAAACGAGCGGTATGTGCGTAAAACGAAATTGAATACTCAATAACAAAAAGAACGATAATCTCCCAAGATTTTGAAAATGCCTTGATATCTGAAATATCTCATGTTATTCAAATGATATATATTTAAAAATTTGTCAATGACTTATATGAATTTGCCCCGAGGACAATGGTTTGATATTTGACAAATCAGCTGAAATAATCACCCTTACACATTGGCGAGTTCGAACATTAAGTAAATGGTTCAGTTTTGAGCAACCTCTTGATATGCGAGACAAAATAGAGCTCAACTATTGAAGCTAATATAAAGCTGATTTTCAAGGTGATAACACCACAGAAGGCACATTCTACGCAAGCTCCATAATCGCCATTACCGTATACATGTGTTTACTGGCGGACGAAGTTTTTACTCAGAGGAAACGAAACCTAACCGATTCTGAGATAAACTATCGAAGCAATTTGTCGTCAATATGAACAACACGACTTTACAAGAAGAAGAAGTCTGCTTCAAAGTGGACATTTTCCCGCTGTTTGCGTTCGGCTTCGTTGTCAACATACTCGCTCTTATTGCGGTGCTGAAGGCGAAGCCAAGAGATTCAACTCCAAACGGAGCCAAGCAAATTCATATCTTAATCTGTTGCCTCGCAGGTTCGGACACCACATCCTTGGGATTGCAATGTTTGATGCCATTAGCTTCGTTTATAAACTGTGGTTGGTGGGGCGGCAAAATTACTTGCAGCCTTTTCGGTTTCGTCAACGCCATTTTAATTTTGTGGTCCGCGTGGATTGTGGCTTTATTGAGTTTTCAGAGATTCCTCGTCACTGTGTTTCCTTTCCAACACCAAAGTACCTTTACAACGAAAAAAATCAAGTCGGCCTTAATTTATTTATTTTTCATAGTCGGTTTGTTCGTATCTCCGCCTTTTTTCGGTGTTGGGGAGTTTGTCTACTACGAAACTGGCCAGTTTTGCAGCCTAAGTTTAACACCAACTGGGCTACCAGACACAATATTTCTTGGCATTCTCGTCACCCAGGGTTTGGCTTGCGTGGTCTTAGTCCTGGGTTTTAATATTCACGTAGTTATTTCGCTAAAGACCAGGAGGTCTAAATTTCACAGGCAGACGGTACGAGCGATGGATGATTCAAGCTCGACCTTTGTTTCCTTGACGAAAAAGGTCGCTCTGGTATTCTGTTTGTGCAACACACCTCTATTGGTAAGTAAGGAAAAACTGTTGTGATAGGCGATATGAAATCGTCTTTTAAATGATAATTACTAAGGTAAGAAAACACACCTTGAGGTAAAAAATGAAACTAAATGAACAGCTGAGAATTTTCATAGAGACTTAGGCAGCAGGAAATGTTTACCGAGACAATATGAGAGGAAAAAACCCTTTTCTTTCATATTTATTTGTTTATTTATTTATTAATTTATTTATTTGGAATGCATAGCCTCTGACAAGAAAATGAAATAAATAGATGAATAAGTTCAGAGGTTTAACCGAAGAAAAATTGCCTCAGTGTGCCTGTTCTTGGTTACGGCCCTGGGTCAAGGTTGATCAACATGGAAGAACGATTCGAATTCAATTTACGTTAAAAATGCGCGCTTATTTTATTTATTTATTTATTTTTTTCGTTTGATTTTAGACAATTTAATTCTCATTATTATTCGCAAATAATGCTTAATTCCCAGCTGCACGAGCAGGACAGAGCTACCCTAATCTATTATTTCCGATTTTGTATTTCATATCGTGTATCTTTTCTGGCTTTTTTTACAGACGCTAGTTACAGAAGTTGTTATTGGACATTCTGAAGTGACAATGACGTGCTAAAAAAAAAAGTGAAAAATACAATGATCGAGGCAAACCAATTTTATTTTTTTTTTAGATTTGCACAGATAGATATGGAAGATGAGGCGGCAAACTAAATTTGTGTTGTAGATTTGCCGTTGATAGACGCGGCAATTTAGATAGCCGAATGTGAAAAAATCAATTGACGTAGATTTCAGGAAGTCTTCTTTTTGTGGGGTAATTTACTAAAACGAGGCTATGAATAAAGATTAGAAAACGCCTCAATGTAAGAACAATTTTCTGTCCAGAAGGAGTTAGAGGGTTTTAATTTTTCAGGCTGGTTCGTGGTGTTGCGTTGCATAAAACTGTCATATTAAATGCAGTTGTTAATATTGGTTCTGTCCAGAAGGTGTTAAAAGGCTAAAATGTTTTTAGGGCTGGTTAGTGGTGTTGCATTGCATAAAACTGTAACATTAAATGCAGTTTTTAATGTTGGTATGGGTTATATCCGTCGAACTTCAGACTTCCCTCAAGCGAGCTAAAATATTGAGGCTAAAGGTGGCCAAATTTTAAGATTGATTTAAAACAATTTACCCAAAGCTAAGAAGGTGTTGACTGAAAATTTGAATACAACATCGCATAATCTTTAAATTTTATATGAACTTATTTAACCATTGAAAAGTATGGCAAAATATTCCTCTTTTATTATCCAACTGCAGCGGATACCGTCCAAATAACAGTACAAATATACAGCGATATTGTACAGTTATTTGTACAGTAGAAAACCTGTTTGCCGTACAGGTCGGCGCGCGCACGCAAAACTGTCAGACTCTCCCTCTTTTCATTGATAAATTTATTGACTACAGCAGTTGGATAATAAATCTCTTATTAGATGTTTTGGTGTGTAGTATCGCTTTATATTTTAACTCGTTGTTGGTATTTTAACTCGCTCTACGGGCTCGTCAAAATACGGCACAACTCGTATACAGCGATACCACACACCAAAACATCTAATAAGATATATTTATTTAACTTAAATACTCTGTAATCTATTCCAAGAATGCACACAGTAATATTTTCAGCCTAATGTCGGCAGAAAAGTAGGAGTGTCCAGACTGAGCATGAAACATGTAAATTCTTATTAAAAAAAAGTGTATTAGGTAAACGAATCATTTGCAAGACATTCTGCCAGTGTCCTCGTGTAAAACTTTTGCCATGTGTCCTTTATTCCCTATAGATTCGCATGGCAGTCGACTTAGGAAAGCAGACAGCACTAGAAGAACTTGGCTTAGAACACACCATAACAATGGCCTTGATGTTTGCAAACACTTTAGCGAATCCTTTTATCTACGTGGCTTGTAGAAAGCGCTACAGACATAGCCTTCAAAAACTTCTTTGTTTTCAGCGCTGTAATGGGTCCGGAGTTGTTCCCAGTAATTCAGTCTTCATTGAGGTTGCAGAACTGAAAGCTGCTCATAGACAGAAGATTTCCACAGGAGACACTGTCTTGTGAATAATTCTCAGTTTGAATAAACCATGTTTGAAATCTCTGAAACTGGTTATTTTTTACGCCGGTTCATCCGATTGGGAGGCGAAGTGGCCTCATGGTTAGTGCGCTCGTCTCCGGATCGAGCGATCTGGGTTCGAGTCCTGGCCGGGGACATTGCGTTGTGTTCTTGGGCAAGACACTTTACTCCCACAACGCCTCTCTCCACCCAGGTGTATAAATGGTTACCGGCGAACTTAACGCTGGGGGTAACCCTGCGATGGACTAGCATCACATACAGGGGGGAGAAGAAATATTCCCTGTCGTTTCTGACGCTTCATGCTACAGAAACCCGGATAAGTCGGATAAGCTCCGGCCTGATGGGCTACTTGGCTCGTATGCAGACTTACCTACCTACCTCACCTCATTTAACTGTTAGATTAAAGGAGTTACGATAAGGTTTTCGCCAGCCTAAACAATTCAAGTTGGTCGTTTCTAATCCGTGTTAAACTTCTCCATCCTTGTTCCTTTAATACCTAATAACTGCACTCTCTCTACCAACATCAATCAGCCGCTTACATCGTATATGGATATGAAAAATACATCACGCGATTCCCGGATGTAGTTTCGTACGAATTTTACGAGTGGTGTTTCTTTTAGTAAAACACTCGTGTCTATGTAAGTAATAGTAATTTGACCGAGTGAAGTACAATTCAGGGAATAATCGCGCGAGTAATTTCAAAAATCAGACGAACGCGAAGCGCGAAACCTATTTGAAATTACGAGGACGATTAGTCCCCGAATTGTACGACTCGAGGTCTGAATTGTACGACTCGAGGTCCAAATGTAGTACTAATTAATCGTATCCGCAACATTTCAGGAGAAAAAGCCTTCGAGACTTTTTTTGAGCCAAAAAGTCAGTAGTGTTCCATAAGTTTTAAAAACTGTAGAAAACATTTAGAAGGAAGCCATTAGAGGGCGCGTAATTGACGTGCGAATGGCGTAAGCATCCAATTACAAAAAGTTGTAACTGGATACCTGTAATTGGACACCCACGTGACAACGCGCCGATCACGTTACAAATGGGCGCGGAGAACCAATCACGATCGAGAATTTTGCTATAGATACGATTATGCCGCAAAATTAGTCTCCACCCGGTAACACACGTCAACGATTAATTCGAAAGATACCAAGTATAGTAGGGTTGCCAGCAAATGTCCTATTATACTCAAAATTATGGCAGCATAATGTACGATGTGTCAGCCCCAAGCACGTTTTCGATCGTACTAATGAATGGAAGAAGCATGGCAACAAAAATGCTTGAATGGAATGAATTCCGGTTAATTGAAAAGCATCCATTGACCCCATGGGAGGCGAAGGAACCCAGTTGAAAGTTTGTGGTGCCTTCATGCATGGTCAAACCGATCATTAGGAGCGGATTGCTATTCAATTAACAGGAGTTCTTGACTTTTGAAAGTGACTGTTAATGAAAGGTAGAGAATGTTGAAATTTATTTGGCCTGGATTGCGTTTGCAACCAAATTAACACTTACTGTTTGAAAGTGAACACAGCCACGTTCTTATTGTAATTAAGGCTGAGAGGCTTAGAGCACTAACACAAAGGAAATTGTTTATTCGTACCTCCATCTTAATTTGATTTCTTTTGTTTTAGTCCCAAAATCCTCGGCGCAAGTTAGAATTTTTTCAAATACGGAAATTGACCCATGTACCATGGTCTCTTGCATTCACCTAATTTCGCAAAGATAAACAAAACATATTGTATGCGTAGCATTTATGATTTTTTTTAAAATTATTAGTGAACCTATGAGTGTAAAGCTTCTCATAGACACTGCATTCCGAAGGCATAGATAATCCAAAGATAGCGGTAATCCAGTGAACCTGTTTGTGAAAAATTTGTGCTCTTGGCACCTAAGCAAAAAGGGGAGCCATTTTGTTTTGCACGGACATGAATAGGTAAGGATATCCGAAGTCTGAGGAGCCAATCGGAACACGTAAATAACAACATTCACTAGTCTGGTAGACAATATCCACCCCAAAATACACACTAAAACTCATTAATAAGTCATCAAGTTTAAACAAAGGAAATCATGACCGCGACGGTGTTTGGATATCTCATCTAAATTACCAAAGGGTTAACGATTCTATTTCATCTTTTTTTCCTTAGTTTTAGTTTTGATTGAGAAGTAACATCAAACACTCAAGATCTTGTTTAACCACATTTCCAAACACCTCCAAAATACTCTGTTGTGCGTCGTATTTTCAACTCTCTTCTAAGGGTTTGGAAGTGTGGTCAAACACTGGCATTCGTGTTTCATATATTACATTCAAAGATTTCCACAACACCACGATATACCTGAACTATGTGATGTAAATTTCAATGGCGCATTTCTAACTGATATGTAACTACATTCTAATAGGCCGCCGCACACTAGCCGACAAAAAATCTTCACTTGCGGGCTTGTGTGCGGTGAATTTAGACAAGTCTGCGACAAGATCGGGGCTTGCCGGACGATATCTGACAGTGCTAGATCTCAAAACGTCTTTTCGGGCCTTGTCGGCTAGTGTGCGGTGGACCAAGTTGTCGGGGCTCGCGCGCCCCTCAACCAATTAGGAAATGTCATGAGAGTCACGTCAGTGGAATAAGCGCCATCTTGATTTTGGGCGACTCGGCCCCAAGTCTCAACGCGGTTAGTCGCCACAAAAATCGGCTAGTGTGCGGCAAGCTGATGGCCTGACAAATTTTAACCCGATTTGTCCCCGACAAAAAATCTGCAGTTCTACGACAAAAAATCGGCTACTGATAGCTGAGAAATTCGAAGAGATCGTCGAATATTTAACTAGGAACTTGCAATTCCAGCTCTTCCATTCAGATCCTCAATTGAAATTTGCAGCACTCTTATCAGCTTAATGCTTCATGAAAAAAATCCTTATCTTGACGAAAAAATGAATTGGGAAGGTTTCATTCCGCTGATTTGGACATAGCTAATAGAGGGGAATGGTTATGAAACTCGACAAAGTTCTTTGTTGTATGTTTTTGTTCGCTTTTTCGGCCTTGGCCGTGCACAAAACACAATAGCTGTTTACTCTGTACCGAGGAACTAACCATTAGAAACGTACTAAAAATTTAAAAACGATCTCTGGCTAAAATGTTTATAGATATACGAGCTTCCGACTGTTAGGTCTACAGTCTTCGACGGGTAAAGATGAATGACGAAACATGAATATAAATGAGTAAAAATAAAAAGAATGGACTATGTAAATTAATTATGAATGTGTGTAAAAAGAATGTTGTATTGCCCAGGGAGTGGGCAAGAATTGTTGACAGCATTTGGAGTCACCATAGTATGCCACGATTCTAATGCTTTCCTTAGTTGGAAACTGCCTTTGTCAATTAAGGAGCTGTTGTTAAAGTCAATAGAATGTTCATGGGACCACGCATGGTTCGCAATTTTGGAGCATTTAGCCGCTATTTTGACATTTCTTATGCGGTCTTTTCTTCGGGTGTTAAACGCTCTGCCAGTTTCACCGATATAACACCATGAACAGTCGGCGCAAGGAATTTTGTAAACAACGTTGGTTTGTGAATCC